CATATAGTGATTGCTTGTTTTGCGGTGCATAATTTATAAGAAAATAGCGTATTAGTGATAAATTTTTTGAGGAGCTTGATCAACCCAATATGCCTTTTGATGGTGCGAATGAGGATGGACAAGACCACGAGAATAATGATACAACTACCGGACCATGGTGGGGGGTCGATGACATGCAGTATATGGCTAATGTTCGCGATGAGATAGCAACTCGATTGGTGCACTGAGTGAGTGACCAATTAGAATTTATTAAATATTTGACGTTGATTTTAGCGACTTTAATCTTTTAGGTCAATTTTAGCGACTTTAATGTATTTCCATATTTTAACTATTTTTATTTGTGAATGTTATATTTATTAGTTGTTTGAATTTTATATTTTATCTATGGTAAATATTTTAAATTTCAAATTTTATTGATTATGTAGATCATGCTTAATTATTTATTTATTTATTTATTTATATATGTTAATCAAAATTAATTAATTAATAAATAAAACGCCAGCATTAAATAATGGTAAAATAGGAAAATAACAATATTCAGACATTCAATTATCAAATGAACTTAATTGCTCAGCATTCAGCATTCAGACACAACTATTATCCATTCAGACACGTATTCAGCACTCAGCATTCAGCGCTTAATCCTGTCAAACGGGCCCTAAATGCAGTTGGGCATTATGCTGAATGCAGGGGCGAAATTACTGATGCAGTTGGACGAAAATTTAAGGGCACAATAGTATTTTTGCCTCTCCAGGGGTGTATCTCAAACTCAAAGGAAGAATTTTAGGGGTGGACTTATCCCTATATATTTTCCATTCTAGGAGTGTATATCAAATGGACCCAATTATGTTATTAATGTGATGATATTTTGAACTATTCATAGTTGGTTTGATCAAAATGCATTTCAAACTTGACCGAAAATTTCTCAAGCCGAGTGGTAAAAGTTCATTGTATATTTGGCTTTTGATTTGTTGAAGTATAATACGTCAAACACTACATGGATAACTAGGGTGGATTGAAAAAAAATGGCTCATTTTTTTTTCTAATCTTTTTTAAATGGTTAAATTACGGTCACCCCCTTCGATAAGGTCAAATTACGAAAATTCCTCATATTTGGGTAATTACAACCACTTCATTGTGAATATGAGATTGTGATGTATCAGAAATTATATTTTTGCACAAGACAAGTACAAACTAGAGAACATTTCACTGAATGTAGAAGATTATGTTGAATTTGACAACATAAAGATGGACGTGTAAGAAGATCCATAGTTGAGGGAAGTGATTGTAATTACCCAAACAAAAGGTTTTTTTTCGTAATTTGAGTCTACCTTAGGGGTTGACAGTAATTTACCATTTTGAAATTATATTTCTTATATTTGTGTAGTTTATATGTTATTAAGGAAAATGGCCCTATAAATAGTCTACAATTAAACTAAAGTCTTCATTTCCACACTATTCCAATAGATAAAAATAAAATTACATATTACCTCTGTAATAACCTCAGATTACTAAAAAATCTTGCAAACTTAATTACATATTACAAACTCACCCCTATATATTCCAAACTTCCAACTCAAACCAAAACACACAAAACCAATAATTTTCACTAATCAACTAATAATGGCCAAAAACCTCTTACTAATCCTCCTCGTGGCTTCCCTACTCCCTGCGATTTACGCAGTTAAATACATCGTCACGAACAATGTCCAAAATACCCCCGGAGGAATTTTCTTCGACCAACAAATCGGAGTCGATTTCACCATTCAAACAATGGGAGCTGCCAACCAATTCATATGGAGGGTCTTCAAACAACGTACGCCCGACGAAATAAAATACGTGCCCGTCGTAAACGTATACATCTCCGAATTCCCCGGGCCCGCCCTGGCGTATACGAACGGCGACAACATCAATATAAGCGCCTCGTCGCTAAAAGATTTCTGCATGCCTCTCGAAAAGGCGAAATTTAAATTTAGCGGATTAATGTACCATGAAATGACGCATCTTTTTCAATGGTCCGGTAATAGAACCGCCCCCGGTGGATTAACCGAGGGTACGGCGGATTATGTGATGGTTAGATCGAATTTTTACGATAAAGATACGTATACGAAACCGGGTACCGGGAATAGGTGGGATGAAGGGTATGGTGTGACGGAGAGATTTTTGGAGTATTGTGATAGTTTGAGATTAGGGTTTACTGCAGATTTAAACAAGATGATGAGATATGAATATAGTGATAATTATTTTGTGCAGTTGTTAGGGAAAACTGTGGATCAACTTTGGGGTGAGTATAAAGCTATGTATGGAAACATGCATTAGTGAATTAACTTATATGTAATGAAATATAAAATTGGATGGTTTATTAATTAATAATTATTATGAATGTTAGTCCATTTTTAAATAAATATAATAGTTTGAGATGTATTATTAATGTCGAATATTTTTTCGAGTATTTCTAAACAATAATGATGTTTCCGTAATTTTAATCACCGACATAAACGACGATACATCACCATAGCTTTAATTATGAACGTATGCGGATGTGTGTAAAATATATATGTCGTTACCATATTATATTATACGTGTGCCAAATAGGAAAAAAAGAAAGAAAACAAAATAATATTGTGTTGATCGGTTTCACAGTAACATTAATGTTTTGCGATTAGGAAAAAAAAATCAACGATGATCAAGGGCGGCGACAGTCAAAATGGAGGCAAATATGGTCAAAATTAGTGAAATTGAAATTAAATTAGGATTACAACGATTTACAGTTAATTGAATCAGATTCCTCGGTTACAACAATCTACAATTAAACTGAAATTTTCTTTCCTCCCACATGATTTCAAGAAATAACAATTGATTTCATATTACCTCTACACTAACCTCATATAACTAAGAAAATCATGTACACTTAATTACACATTACAAACTCGTGCATATATATATATGTATATATTTACATCATCCAACTCAAAAAAAAAATACAAAACAATAATTTGATCTCACTAAATCATGGCCAAAACCACCTTAATAATCCTCCTTCCTTGTTTCCTCCTTGTAGCTTCGCTACTCCCCGCGATACACGCAGTAAAATACATCGTCACAAACAATGTCCCAAACACCCCCGGAGGAATTTTTTTCAACCAACAAATCGGGGTGAATTTCACGATCCAAACAATGGGAGCCGCGAATCAATTCATATGGAAAGTCTTCAAAGAAAACACACCCGCCGAGAGAAAAGACGTACCGGTTATCAACGTGTACATTTCCGAATTCCCCGGGCCCGCTCTGGCGTACACGAACGGCGACAACATCAACATAAGCGCCCCGTCGCTAAAAGATTTCTGCATGCCTCTCTCAAAGGCGAAATTTAAATTTAGTGGATTAATGTACCACGAAATGACGCATCTTTTTCAATGGTCCGGTAATAGGACCGCCCCCGGCGGGTTGACCGAGGGCACGGCGGATTACGTGATGGTCAAATCGACTTTCAATTACGATAAGAATACATACACGAAACCGGGTTCGGGGAGTAAGTGGGACGAAGGGTATGGTGTGACAGAGAGGTTTTTGGAGTATTGTGATAGTTTGAAATTAGGGTTTACTGCTGATTTAAATAAGATGATGAGGTATGCATATAGTGATGATTATTTTATGAAGTTGTTGGGGAAGCCTTTGAATCAGCTTTGGAAAGAGTATAAGGCTAAGTATGGGAACAAACCTTAGTGAATCAAATACTATGTTTAATTTCATGGTGTGAAGTAATAATTAATTGATGGAGATTTATCCATTAATTAATTTTGTGTTGAATAAAAGAATATGAAATGAAATTTAAATTGGATGATGTTTTTGAATAATATCATAGTTTGAGATAGTATTGTCTACCGTTTTTTTCCGAATATTTCTATACGATAATATGTTTCCGTAGTTTTAATCACCGACGGAAACAAAGTTATGTAGATGATATATCGGGTGGCGTATACATCATCGTATGTAATCACGCACGTATGCAGATGTGTGTAAAATATATTCTTAAGTCGCTACAACTTGGTACAAAATATAATGTCTTATAGAGATCAAACTAGAATGAATAAATAAAAGCTGTATTTTATATTACAAATGATTAAAAAGTTTGAACTTTCGAATTTCGTCGATTCTGATAAAAAAAATTCCAATTTCGGAACAATCATTTTCATTTTAATTTTCATTTTTTTTAATATGAAATTGGAATTAGTTTTTTTATGTACGATTTTTGTTTCTTTTCCTAAAAGTGATATAGTTCTGATTTCATCCGTCCGATTTTCGTTAATCACCAAATATAACATCAATCATATCTGGATGGTGAAAAAATTCCACATAAAAAAAATGACCAGATTCAATGCACTTGTTTCTCATCTAATAATCAATCAAAGAATCCCATTCTTCCCATTTTACCCTTATTCTTCATTTATTTTGTTCAACGCAAATCCCAATAAATAAATAGATTTTCCAATTGGCAGCGATTATTTGCAAGACGAAATTTACTTAGTGCAAGACCAATTTAATTTTTTTTATTAAATTCAGTATAAAAAGACTATAATAACCTTAATAAAATACAAACAAAAAAAAGTTATTTTATTAATTTTCTTTTGCAAGACCAATTTTAAAAAAAAAATAATAAAACAAAAGGAAAAAAGAAATTGAATTGACAAAATCAAAACGAGGAGGAAAGATTGAAGAAAACAAAAAAAATTAATTGCAGCAAAAAACCGTTCGTCGCCCCGTCGCCCGCCGCCCCGTCGTCGTCGTCGCCGTCGCCGTTGAAGTCCACCGCCGTCGCCCGTCGCCGTTGAACTCCGTTGTTGCCCCAACCCCGCCACAACAATCTCACGAAAAACAAGTAAAAATTACTTTTTGAATTAACTTTTTTTGAGAAATAAATGTGATAAACATGATTTTATTGTTAGAATAATGAATTCAAGTCGTTTTAGAACATAGTTGATGATTCTAGGGTTCGATTGTAGCACTATTGTTGAAGGAGTTGCGGTTTTACAAAAATCGACCTGTACTTGTCGTTTTTTTGGAAAATTTTCGACACACTGGCGTCGAAATATCCGCTTAATATCGACACCAGAATGTCGATAATTTCAATATAATTCGACAGTTAATGAGTGTCGAATTATTTTGACATTTTCGACACTGCAGTGTCGATATAAAGCTGATATTTCGACCTGTACATGTCGATTTTTTTGTACGTGAAATGAGGTGCGAAAAACGAGAAAAACGATCACAAAGTACAATATTTCTTACCTCTTTGTGTTCTTCGACCTTAGAATCCTCCATATTTATGTCTTGTGTATCCATAATGTCCTTCTTTTCAAGTTTTAGTAAGATTTGAGGGTTTTATGTGATAAGGGTTTTGGAGAATATGAAAGATTTTTTTGTGGAAAAAAATGTGTAAAATGAGGGTGAAGAAGAAGATGTTGGTGTTTTGTTGGGTGAGTGAGTTCCCTCTATTTTTTCTTTTTTTTTATTCTTTTTTTTGTATTTTTTTTTGGTCTTGCAATAGCAATTAACTTAATTTAAATTAATAATATCTAAATTATTATTGGGGTTATATTTGTAATTTCCAGTCTTGATCTTAGTAAATTTATTTATATTTTGGTCTTGCATGAAGTAAGGTCTTGCACTTAGTAATTTTCGTCTTGCAAATATCTGCAGCCTTTCCAATTTCCCAACGTTATTCATGCCTGAATACCCAACTTACTATTTATAAACCCTTTCCGCCCTCCTCCGCCGCCGTAGAACCGCCAGCAAAATGTCTTCCGACGGATTCCGACCGCTGGACGAGAAGTCATTGGTGGAGTACTTGAAGGCAACTCCGTCCCTCTCCGTGAAACTCGGCGACCAGTTCGATAAGCTTGAAATCAAAGAAGTCGGCGATGGAAACCTCAACTTCGTTTACATTGTTATCGGCCAATCTGGATCCTTCGTCATCAAACAGGTACCAATTTTTAAAATTTCCCTCTGTTTTTTTCACTCTTCTGTTATGAATTTTTAAATGTTTTTTCATCGATTTGTTTTTTTGGATTATGATAATTTGATGATCTAAGTGGGGATTAACTATTTGATTAAGGACTTGAATTCACACCAGTTGTTCATTAATCTTCGAGTGCTTTTGCCCTCTTCATTTTTAGATGTTTATGACAATTATTGTGCGCATAATTTTGGCACTTTGCATCCTTGGAAATAATTTATGGCACTTTACACTCTCGGAACATGTTTAATCGTTCAAAATTGCACCCTAGTTTATTTTTCATCCTGAATTTCCATTGTTGACTTATTTTCTGATTGTCAACGGAGTCATTTACGCTCGAAAATACATTAGTAACTTTGCACCCTGAAGAAAAAATCAATTGAAATGATCATGCTAACGATCAACAAATAAGTTAACAACGGAAAATTATGGCTGAAAAATATATTGGGGTGCATTTTGAAGGATTAAACTATGTTTTGAGGGTGCAAAGTGCCATTTATTATTTCTGGGTGCAAAGTGCCAAAATGGTGCATTTCAAGGGGTGCAAAGTGAAATTAAGCCATTATTGTGAAATGACTTGGTAATAATTTGGGGATTACTCGAACAGTTGCGTAATTGTCTCCGAATAACCTATGTAATTTGTTCTCTATTTGAACTGGTTTTAAAACATATGCAGGCCCTTCCATACATTCGCTGTATCGGAGAATCATGGCCGATGACAAAAGAACGTGCCTATTTCGAAGCATCTACTTTAGAAGAGCACGGCCGACTATGTCCGGATCATGTTCCCGAGGTTTACCATTTCGACCGGAAAATGTGTTTGATCGGCATGCGGTACATTAAGCCACCTCATATAATTCTAAGAAAAGGATTGATATCTGGGATTGAGTATCCGTTACTTGCGGAACATATGTCGGAATATATGGCCCGGACGCTGTTTTTTACTTCCCTGCTTTATTTGACCACTACGGAGCATAAAAGTGCAGGTAAGAAATCGTAGCACCATGAAACAATCTTATGCTTGTGTTTCTGATTATATTTCATTCTCTTTTTCTTGATTTTCTGTTCCGCATTCATTTGTTCCAATATTTTTGTGGTTTACGCACTCGAACTCTTGCATGCGAATGTTGATGAGAAAATAGAACATGCCAGCTAGATTGGCTTGCGTTTCCATGGAGAATTGGTGTTCATAAATTAATATAACAATTGAGATATTCCTTTTGTCTTGGTCGTGCAGAAATTCTTGGAATACAGTAGAACCTCGATAAATTAATAACCTCGATTGAATAATAGTTTCTCTCTGTCCCGACTCGGTGAAAACGCGTTAAATTAATAATTCGCTAAATTAATAGAATTTCCCTAGTCCCGACTGTATTAATTTATAGAGGTATAACTGTACATCCTAATTATTATCTCATTATTCTGCAGTTGCTAAATTTTGCGGGAATGTGGAGTTATGCAGACTTACCGAACAGGTTGTCTTTTCCGACCCCTACAAAGTGTCTGAATACAACCATTGGACATCTCCTTACCTTGACGCTGATGCCGAGGCAGTTCGAGAGGATAACCTTTTGAAACTTGAAATCGCTGAGCTAAAATCCAAGTAAATTTCAATTTTCGAATCTTTTTTTTTTTAATTATTTAATATTTTATCTTTTGAATGCAATAGTTGTGGAGGTTTTTCTTACAATTGTATGGCATTTTTCGACTCAGATTCTGTGAGAGAGCCCAAGCTCTTATACACGGTGATCTCCATACAGGTTCGGTCATGGTTACCACTGAGTCAACTCAAGTGATCGACCCTGAATTTTCTTTCTACGGACCAATGGGATTTGATATTGGAGCTTTTATTGGAAATCTGATTTTAGCTTATTTTTCACAAGATGGACATGCTGAGAAGGACGCTGATCGTAAAGTACGTCGTCCCTACATTTGTTGAAGCCAATATTTAGTTCAGTCTATTAATTTGTTAACATAAAGTTCGCTTCCGTTTTTTTTTTGTCCGAAATCAGCTATACAAAGAGTGGATTTTGAAGACAATATCGGATACTTGGAATCTCTTCTACGAAAAGTTCACGGCTCTTTGGGATCAACACAAGGATGGGCCCGGCGAAGCTTATCTTGCAGCAATTTATAATAATTCGGAACTCCAATTGCTCGTTAAACAAAAATACATGGACGATCTTTTCCATGATACTCTTGGATTTGGTGCTGCAAAAATGATAAGGTTAAATATTCCCTTCCTCTTTTTACGATTTTTTGCAGTCTCCATTGTTTTTTATTATTTTGAGCTTCTTGTTGGGAAATCCTTAGCTTTAGCTAGTTGCCTTATTCCTCTTGTCATGGGTAAATTTATCTGATCAGAACGGAATTAACACTTTTGGAAAAAAAAAATCCGTTTTTATTTCGAAAGTGAAAAACTAATTCCAATTCCGTTAAAAAATTTTGGAAAAACCGGAAATCGGATTTCCGGAAATTTGAATAAAAAAAACTTGTTCCAAAATTGGAAATTTTCTTACCGGAATCGGCAGAATTCGGAAATTTCTAAATTTTAATTACTTAAAATATTAAATGCGTAAAGAAATATTGATATTATAAGCGTAATATTCGGAAAATCATTGGAACTTTCCAGAATTAAATTTCGATCAGACTGTATTCAAATTCTGATAAATAAATAAAAAAGGTCGGAGAAATCGGAATGAAATATATGGTTCCAAAATCGGAATTTATCGGATCGGAATTGGCTGAAATCGGAAATTCCATTCCAATTTCCATCCCGAACAATGTCTGATATAATTCTCAGTTTTTACTTATACGCGATTTGATTTTTTTGTAGGAGAATTGTCGGAGTGGCTCATGTGGAAGATTTCGAATCAATCAAGGAAGCCGACAAACGTGCAGAATGCGAACGCAAGGCTCTAAACCTCGCTAAAACCCTCCTCAAAGATAGGAAAACGTTCCACAATATAAGTGAAGTCATTTCTGCAATTAAGCATCTCGACAAATAATAAAATCTTCGTCACTTATTTTCTGCAAATTTCATTTGCATATGATATAATTTATATAATAATGCATTGAAGTTACTCTCGAATTTCGTATTACTCTAGTATTTATACGAAACTCCATTACATCAATTTATTATTTTTCCCATACTTGGCTTTATACTCTCTCCAAAGCCGATCCACGGGTTTACCCAACAATTCGACAAAATAATATTCGATTTAACCATCACGTAATTAAGGAAAGTGAAGAAGAACTTGGATTTAGCATGGGGGAAGTAGAACTTTGTCCAAGGCGGGCCCGCTTATGTTAATGTTGTTCCCCGTTTGTGTAGGCGTAGCCGTCGAAATCCGAGATGTAGATGTTTAGGATTGGTGCTCATTTAATGTTGGATATGGTGCGTTGTTTGAAGATTCTTCGTATGAATATGTTGATGACTCGCATTGTTTGTATGGTGAAGTTTGCGCCGATTTGCTGGTCGAAAAGCTTGCCTCCGGGGGTATTTGGGACATTGTTCGTGACGATGTATTTGCCTGCATAAATGGTCGGAAGTATGGCTGCTGCAAGAAGTAGAGCAAATGGGAAAAGAATGTAGTGATTTTTACCCATTATTATATATAATTTTTTTAGTTACGGAAATTTTTACAGTGTGATATATTATATATATATATATGGAGGCAAGAATTGTTAAGCTAGTCAAGAATTTAGGGAAGAGCTATATGATTACAATGATCGTGTTTCAAAATTTTAAGCTTAGTCAAGACATATTTAAGTATTTAT